GTCTCCTCTAAAGACAGAAAGGGAAAGAGCCACTGTCCAGCACACAGGGCTTTTAATAAGACAAAGTTTTATGTGTGCTATTGGCTGGAGCCCAGCCTGCCCTCAGTGCTTTGCCATAGGCTTTTGACATGACCTATTTGTATACTTGTAATCCTCAAAAGCTTGACGCCTGCCTAGGCTACATATTGAGACCTTGTTTTGAAAAAATATGTGAACACAAAGGCCATGAATGCCCTTTAGGGACAAGGATTTGTTTTAGGCGATGTTTCATTTTTTCTATTGGGTGCACATGGGGATTGGGAGAGACAGAGTCTCACTATATAGCCCCTAAGTGGCCTGGAATTCGCTATGGAGGTCAAGGTGGCCTTGAACTCACAGAGATCCACCTGCTTCTGCCTCCTGAATGCTGAGATTAAAGTGCTCAAATGCCCTGTAGTATGTGATTTTTTTTTTTAAACAAAATTCCTCAGACCCAAACAGCTTACTAGACATATTAAGCTGGAAGTTCATCTATTCAATGTCTGGTATGCCCCTCTTCCTGGCTCTCTGATGGCTGTGTTTCTGATGATTACTCACAGGGCAGAGAAAGAACGGACTCTCCTCTCCTCTTTTCACCCCACTGTGGTAGCTCACTCTTCCTGATTTCATCTAATTACTGCCCAGAGGCCTCACTCCAAGTCCATTCACACTGTTTATTCAGACTTCAACATATGAAAGGAAGGAAACCAATCTTTTTCCTATACATTCACAGACTTTATTGTGATACCAGATGGGTGAGTTTTTTCCAGCAGCCAATCCTGCCACTCTCTACACATTAGCAGAATGGATTACCATTCATGACTGGATACCAAGCATCAGAGCAGGGGGTTAAAGGCTCAGCAATACAAGAACACACTCTGATTTAGTGCCAGTCACAAGCTGCGAGTCTTGAGGCTTGTCTACAAAGTAGACTTCCACCTCAGGTTTGGTAATGTGCTGTAGTAACTCTCAGAATTTGAGGGACACATTTGCTGGTGTATCAGAAAGAATGTGATAGGCTGAAGATGTTGAAGATGTTCGTATGTTTGAGATCCAAGAGGATCTGAGCCCCAGAGCGTCTGTCCCTGCGGAGTGTGCTATTTCTCAGCCAGGATATGTTAATCACTCCAGAACCTCTCTGAGCTCCATCTCTAGGGTTTTTAAGAGGCTTCACTAGGTAGTCACAGTCAAGTCTTGACTCCGTCGCTAGCTTGGTTCTCTTCCCTGGAGGATGGGGAATGGGACCATAGCTCCAAGTTATTCATTGTGTCTTGGTCTTTCTGATGTCCAGCCCCCATTATGAGGCTAACCAGAGGCCCAGCATGAGGTGGCTCACTAGAAAGGAGTCATCCAGAGTCTTGAGGGTTGGGAAACTTGGTGGCAGGAAGTGGGTAGAGACCAAGTATATTTCTTATTACATCACAGTGTGTACAAACATTCAGTCCTTAGCAGATCCAAGGCTCTGTGGAAGCCAGTTACCATGGTTAATGCCTCTATTTACATTCAGATACAGCTCTGTCACTAGGACAGACAGCTACCATGTGGCTGTAAAACACTGATATGCTCCCTGCGGTAGGCTAAATAATGACCCCCAAAGATCAATTTTATAATTCCAAGCTATGAATATGTGACCTTAAATGGCATGGGAGAGCTTGCAAGTGTGGGTAAAGATTTGGGAAGGAGAGATTATCCTGGATTATACGTGTGAGTCCAGTGCATTTACAGGAAGGTATGAGTCAGAGACTTATAACAGGACAGCCGAAGTCAGGGAAGGAAGATGTGATGAGGGACTGGTGGCAGTGTGACTGGAACTGAACAATGTCGCTGCTTCTCAGAACTGGTCAAGTATGGCTCAGCTTTGCTGACACCTTCCTTGTGGCCCTTAAAATCTGCTTGGTTCTTCCAGCCTTCAGAAAATGAAAGGTGACAAATATCACTGGGAGACAGTGGGGGCGTGGTCACTTGTTCTAGCAGTGATGTAGAAAGAGGGCCTTGGGGAAACCCATTTACAGTTGTACAGAGTTACAGGCTTCATAACAACAATGCAACTCCAGTTCTTCTGTATACTTGACTCAAGCATACCTTGTTCACTCCTCATTACTCTTCCTGTGTCTGTGTCCCACAAGTCTGCTTCCGTCTCCCCTATTGTCCCTTTTATATCATTTATGTGTACATAAGTGGCTATGGAGATTGATCAATCAAAAGAGCCCCAGGAGTAATCAAAATAAATAAATAAATAAATAAACAAATAAATAAATAAATAAAGCCAGGCATTTGAGCGGGAGGGACAATAGTTAGGATCATTTCCCGCTCTTGCAGAGGACCCAGATTCAATTCCCAGACCCATGTCTGGGGCTCACAATCACTTGTAACTTCTATTCTTCTAAGGGACTGAAAACTCTTTGGTCTCTGCAGACATATGTAATGCACATAGACTCATTCATACATACATACACTTAAAAGCAACCCCTTTTTAAAAACCTATTCATAGTGGGCGGTGTATCTAATCCCAGTTCTGGCAAGGCAGAGATGGCAGATCCCTGGGGCTCAATAGCCAGCCTAAACTACCTGATGAGTTCCGGACTAGTGAAAGACCCTGTCTCAAAAAGAAATGTGGCAGGGGAGTTGTTGCTCATGCCTTTAATCCAGCACTGGGGAGGGAGAGGAAGGCAGATCCCTGTGAATTTGAAGCCAGCCTGGTCTACAGAGCTAGTTTCAGGACAGTCAGGGCTACACAGAGAGACCCTGTCTCAAAAAACACTCACGGTTCCACATTTGAGAAAAATGTTATATTTATCTCTCTGAGTTTGGCTTATTTTCCTTAATTGGTGATCCCCAGGTTCTTCCATTTTCTTGCAAATGAAATAATTTTGTTTTTTAATTACTATTAGATCTTTGAGAATTTACTACATTTTTAAACTGGACTTACCTCTCTCCGGACTCCTCCCATGTTCACCCCCTTTCCTCCCCACCAGCCTTGTGTCCTGTCTCTTCTGTTTTTCTCCGTCAAGTCCAGTTTGTGCTGTCCCTATATTCATAGTGTGTGGGCTTCCACCAGAGTGTGTTCAGCCTGTCAGGCGCAGCCTTCTTAAGGAAAACTGACCTCCCTCCTCCAGTGGCCATCAGTTCCAATGACTCCTTAGCTAGGAGTGGGACCTCACGCCCACCTTGGCCTTCCATGCTGGAGTTTGATCTAGCTTGAGTTTGGACATGGCTTGTGCATACTGTCACAACCAGTGTACCTTTGTATGTGCAGCTGAGCAATTTTCTTCTTTTGTTTGTTTATTTTTTTGCGTGGGAGCCTCACTAGGTAGCCCTGGCTATCCTGGAACAACTCACTGTGTACACCAGGCTGGGCTTGAATTCACAGAGATCCCCCTGCCCTTGTCTCCTAAATGCTAGAATTAAATCTATGTACCACCATGCCTAGCTATCATTTTTTTCTTTATGGTTGAGTAAAACTCCGTTGTCTTTGTATCACATTTTTTAATATATTCGTTTGTTGATGAACATTTAGGCTGATTCCACAGAAAGCATGTATATACTCTGTACTAAGCTGATCTAGGTTCCCTTGGAGTGTTTGGGGTAATTTTGTTTGTTTGTTTTTTTAAGATATTTTTATTTTATGTGTCTCTGTATGTGCCTGCATGTATGTATGTATACCATGTGCATGTCTGATATCTGTATTAATGTATGTATAGCGTGTGCATGTCTGATATCTGCATGTATGTATGTATACCGTGTGCATGTCTGATATCTGCAGAGGCCAGAAGAGAGCATCTAGATCCACTGGAGTTAGAGTTACAGAAATGTCCTGAGCCACCATTTTAGATGCTGGGAGTCCAACCTGTGTCCTCTGGGAGAGGGGCCAGTGCTCTTGACCATGGAGTCTTCTCACTAGCTCTTTCGTCTGTTTGCTTATTTATTTGTTTACTTTTGAACAAATCCAAATGCATTGTGTAGCCCAGATTGGCCTCAAGTTTACCATTCCTGCTTTAACCTCAAATCCTGGGGCTATGCTTTCCATTGGAGCTCCCCCAATTGCCTGGAACCATGGGAGGGGGCAACACATGCCACAGCATACACATGAAGGCCAAAAAACAACCTTTAGGAGCTGGTTCTCTCTACCATGTGGGTTCCAGAAATCAAACTGAGGCCATCAAGCAAGTACATTTAATCCATGAGACATGCCTGCCTGCTTCTCTGCTCCTTGTTGGTTTTTTTTTTTTTTTTTTTTTAACAATCTAGGCCTTTTACTTTCTTTGTACATTAAACTGTGAGTTCATAGGGAACAGCTCCAGCAGCCCAGGCTCCTTCCCCTTAGTTCCGATGACGGAGCTGGCCAATGCTCTGTTGAATACACAAGCCTTCTCCTTGACATCCTTTTTTTTGATAGTTTTTTCCATCACCGGTTTCAGGAAACTGCCATGGCTCTCAGTGCTCACATGTTCCATGTGCACGTTACTTCCCTTGGCAAGAACATTGCCTTCACCTGCTTGTTTACAATGATGCGTGTGGTGTGCTGAGTGATGTTATAGACACTTCCGATTTTGCTGTGATAACACTTATGGTCATTCCTTTTTGAACAGAGTTCATTCCCTTGATGTCTACAGTATCATTCTTATAGATTTGCATGTATGTGGCCAAAGGAGTACCTCCAGTGAATTACTGGAAGATGGGTGCTGTGGGGCACAAGCAAAGCCAGCTTCTCTATCTTGAGTGATCCTGGTTCTGTTCAGTACTAAATTCTATCAATAGAGATACACTAGACTGAGATCTGCATGCCACACTTTCTTGCAGATGGTGTAGCGTCTGGCAGAGAACAGTACCACAGGGTCCGTTTTAGAGCTTGTAGTCATTTGCCTGTGTTGTACCTCAGGGTGTAAACACTTTGGGAAGAGCACACCCGGCACAGACTGCATTTCCTTCTTAGTGTTTCCCAGCCAGATGTTGTGAAATTCTTTTGTTTTGTTTGTCTCTAGTGCCTGGAAACCTTGGCTGCTACAAGGATCATGGAAACCCACCTCCTCTCACGGGCACCAGTAAAACATCCAACAAGCTCACCATACAAACCTGTATCAGCTTTTGTCGGAGTCAGAGATTCAAGGTACTGGCTCTGTGGTGTACAACTATAGAAAAGATAATGAAAATTAGCAACCCGCATGTCAAGTCACACAGGAAGAGTAGGCTGGGGAGTCAGAGCACAGGCAGCATTCCATGTACAGATGGAGACAGGGGGTCCCTGTTAGCCTCTGCTCGGCCCTTGTCTGTTATGATGAGGGATCCATAGAGAGTCGAGCCAAGGCAGTGGTTCCCTTCCATGGCAAACTGCCACGCCTTACCTCTTCCAAATACTCTTTTCTTCCTCTTCTTTTCTTTATCTGAAATGTATCTCCCAATCGATAAGGTTCAGTAGTGCTATTTTGTATTAAACAGAAGATCCCGCTCTCTCTCCTTTTGTTTTTCCTTCTTTCCTTGACCAATTCAATCTAAAAGCCATTAATTAAGTCCAAGAAAGAAGGGTGCCCTGCTCATGTGAGGCAGGCGAATAAGCAGTCGGACCCCATGGCCATGCGGTCTGTTGGTTGTGCAGAGCTTGAGTGTACAATGAATGTCTCAGAGCCAGCAAATTCTGGCTGCTGGAGAAGGGAAGTGCAAATGTGGAAGCCGAGGAAACTGGAAGGAAGTCCAGAGGTAGTGTTGGAGGTAGTGTAAGTCCGTGGCTTTGATTATAGACAGACCACGATGTTATATAACTGTGCAATGGCTGTGTGTGTACACACACGTACACTTCATCACTGCCCTTGCCACACACTGATAACAGGGCGTATAGCCAGCACTCACGTCTCCACCAAAAGGAAGCTCAGTGGGGAAATTACCCATGCTGTGTTCAAAGCACAAGATGTAGTCGTTAATGTCTTGTGTAGGACAGAAACATGAGTACGATTCATCAAATGGACAAAGCCACCTTGAAAGGGGTCCCATGACCTAAATCTGGCATGCTTTAAGCTTCAGATAATGATCGTAATAAATGCATCTTATTGACTAAAGTAAGAGCACCCCACTCCACTCCCAGTGATGACCGAGTGAAAAGATAAACACTCGTGATCAGTGAGTGCAAGCTACGAAATATAGAAGAAGTGGTGACATTATTACCATACGATAGCCCTCAGAGTATGATTGAGTCACAAAATGAACATCAAGGTCTGCAAGTATCTCAGATCTTCACTTATTATTTATGGAAACAAAAGTGTACCTAGTCTTAAGAGTCACCCACAATGACTGGGCATGGTGGTGCACATCTTTAATTCCAGTACCTGGGAGGCAGACGCAGGTAGATCTCTATGAGTTTTAGGCCAGGTCAGCCTGATCTATATAGTGATTTATAGGCCCATCACAGCTACATGATGAAACCGTGTTTCAAAATACAACAAACAAATGTGTGTGTGTGTGTGTGTGTGTGTGTGTGTGTGTGTAGACAGGGTCTCATATAGTCCAGGCTGACCTTGAACTCTTGGTTTTCCTGCCTTCCCTGCCCAAGTGTTGGGATTATAAGCATGCACTGTGGAGCATGGCTGTAATTAAAAGTATCTGTCACAGAATACCCATAGCTAATACCCTACTCAGTTGTGAGGTAACCCATGCTTCCTAACCAGTCTGGTGAGCAGACAATAATACTCACTCTTACCTCATTGGCCTGGAGGGTCTTGCTAAAGAAATGGTTTTTAAGAAAGAAATAGGGTACATAGATTGGAAAGTAAGAATTAATTTTTTATTTTATAGAATATTCTAAGGAACCTATAAAAAAAAGAGGGCTAGAATCAGTGAATAAATTTAACAAGGTTGTAGGCTATAAGGTCACCTACAAAAAGCTGTGTATCCATATACTAGCAGTGAATAATTAATAATGTATGCGTCTAAACAAATAATTATATATTACATATCCCTTGGCATATCTGAGTGGCCTCTCGGGGAGTTCACCGATGCTCTCGTGCAGTACATTTCAATAAAGTCTTTGTCCAAAAAGAAAGAATAGAAAAGAAAATCTTACCATTTTGCAAGAGTATAGATTGGGCCAAGTGTCACCTAGTTGCTGGCATTTGTCCAACACATGTAAAGCCCTAGATCCCAACAGCACTGGGGACAGAAATGAGGAGGAGAGGTTAACTAAGAGCTCGTAATGACGCTATGGAGACCCAGTAAGTGACAGGACAGACCTGCCTGCTCACAGCCAAGACAGCACGAGTATTATTAAGGTGGAGTACCTTAGATAGTCTATAAATAAAATGGAAAAGTAGTGCTTAAAAAAAAAAAAAAGACAAGCTACAACACTGGAGACAACACTCAGTAGTAAAATGCTTGCCCAGTACGAGCCAGACCCAGGCAGGATAGTGCCCAAGCAATGCAAAAGAAAAATGGCCGACCCCATGCGTATGCAAAGACAGACCAAAGTGATCTTGGTAAAGAACTGTTATGTGGAACTTCCTCACCTGACCTATTCCATAAAGTCACTGTCACCAAGAGAGCAAATTGTGAGCCAGTCAGAAATTACTCACAGACAAATCCAACCACCTGTCTATTATTTTTTGTTCAGGTAAATAAAGTTTTATTAAACAGAGCCATGCCTGTTCACTACATATTATATTGTCTGTAGCTATTTTCATTATGTGGCCAGGAAGCTGGTAGAAAAAGACTATGTAGTCCACAGAATGCAGAATATTTATTTTTGGCTTTTGTGGAAAAGGTTTCCTGAAATCTGCTGTACATCGGTAGAACCATCTAGAGATAGACCTACACAGATGCACACAGTTGATTTTTATGTAACTCTCAAGGCTGTTCATTAATGAACAGTTGTCATTGATTACTCCTGAGGACATATTGTAACTCTTAGTGAAGAAAAATAAGTCTTGTTTTGCATCATAGCTTAAGCAAAGATTGACTTTAAACTAAACTACAGAAAAAAAGTTACTGCAAGAGTATCATAAAAGTAGACATACAGAACAATAGACTTCACTTTAAAAATGAACCTATAAATTGATGGTCAGATGATTTCTAGCAAAATTGCCAAGATCATTAGGTTAGAAAAGAATAGTCTTCAACAGATGGTAATGAGGTAGTGGGCTAATCGCATCCAGAGTCGTGCTTGGTTCCTTTATTCAGAGCTGTGACAAAAGCAGCTTAAGGAGGAAGGTTTATTTTAGCTCACACCTTGAGATGCAGCATTAGGAGTGAGGCAGCTGTCACAGTGCAGGGCAGTCAGGAAACCATGAGGAGGGCTGGTGCTCCGCCCACTTTCTTCTTTTGTTAAATCTAGGTCTCAGCCCAAGGGATGCTGCTGTCTATAACCAGGGTCAGTTTGACCCAAAATGTGCAAAACAAAACAAAACTAAACTAAAGCACACGGTAGCAAAAAGGCAAGCAATGCAGTTTTAAAATAGGCAGAAGAAATGAACAGTTCATCACCAAAGAGGACACACCAATGCAAATGAGCAAATGAAATTATAGACACCATCAGTCATTAAACTAGTGCAGATTAAAGCCACTGTGAGATACACAGCCATCCTCGTGGCTAAAGTCAAATATTCTGACAGTAGCAAGTGCTGGCAAGGGCCCAGGGGAGTGGAGACTCTCAGACGTTGTTGGTGACATGACATGGCGTGGCTCAGTCCTCCTGAGAAAGGTTGGGGTTCTTTTAAAAAAGTTAAGCCCAACAATCTCACCTCTAATTATTACTTCAGGCAAATGAAAACTTACAAGAATCTGTATGCAAGTGCTTACGGAAGTTCTAGTCTTCATAATGAAAACCTGGAAATAGATGAACCACAGGACTGTATTCAGTAAGCTAAAGGAGTGAACTGTTGGGATGTGTTCCAGTGTGAATGAACTTACAGCCATGCTGAGGGTGTTTTTGCTTTTTAAAGCTACTTTATAGTCTCAAAATGACAAATGATACTGTAGAAAACCTTGGGTCTCTAGGGACTACGAGAGGGCTATAAAGCAAGAGTGTGAAGGCTCCAGTGTGGTGCAGCTTGTTCTGTGTCTGGGGTTGGCTGCTGCAGACTGTGAGCTCAGTTAGTGTAGTAACATTAAAAATGAAATGAAATGAAAATGTAATGATGTTTAATGAGTTTACTGTGACATTTAACTAGAGCACATCTGGGGGCCTAAGAGATGGCTCTGGAGCTAAGGACACATACTGCTCTTTCGGAGGAACTTGGTACCCTGCACCTATGTTCAGCAGCTCAGTAACTCAGGTGTTAGGGCATCTGACACTGTCTTCTGGCCTCTGTGGGCACCAGTACTCATGTGTCTATAGACAGACAGACACACACACACACACACTCATGTGTCCACAGACATACAGATACAGACACACACACTCACACACACAAACATATGTGTGCATGGACGGCAAACAAACTGACAGATGGACATAGACACACACACACACACACACACACACACACACACACACATTTAAAAAATAAGTCTTGGGGACTGGAGAAATAACTAAAGCTCCAGAGGAGCTGGGTTTGATTCCCAGCATCCACATGTCAGTTCAGATCTGTCTGTAACTCCAGTCTCAGGGGATCCAATGTACTCTTCTGGGCTCTACAGGCACTGCACACATGCAGTGCAGACATACATGCAGGCAGAACAGCCACACACATAAAAATAAAGATTGACTTTAAAAAAAAGGGGGGGGGGGGGGAATGGAGAGATAGCTCAGTGGTTAGGAGCACTTGCAGCTCTTCCAAAGGACCCAGGTTTGATACCCAGCACCCACATGGTGGCTCACAGTCCTATGAAACTCCAGTTTCAGAAGATCAGAAATCCTTTTCAGGCCTCTGAGGGCACAAAGAATATACATACATGCAGGCAAAACACCTATTTATATAAAAATTTATTTAATTAATTAATATTTTACCTGGTACATAGTAAATAGTCAATGAAGTGTTTAGCTGTTTTTAATCAAAATTTCATGTTGAAGACTTAAATACTATGGAAATGAGGACATTAGAATCCTCACAGGCAAGGAGCACCTGAGTGAAGAAGCTAAGGAGAGGTCACAGGAAAGTCACAGAGAAACTGAAACTAATTGCTCCAGGTTTGAGGGTAAGGGGGCTGCCAGCCTCCTTTGGGCCTGACACCCCTCATAACCTCCCAACATCATGTGACAACATTTACCCAGACTCCCCAAGTTCATAGCTATCTCATAGTGCAAAATACATTTGTCTGACTTAGAAGTCCTCACACTCCTCTTCTGTTGTGACAGTTTGCTGGGATGGAGTCAGGCTACGCATGCTTCTGTGGGAACAATCCTGACTACTGGAAGCACGGGGAGGCTGCCAGCACCGAGTGCAATAGTGTCTGCTTCGGGGACCACACGCAGCCCTGCGGTGGGGACGGCAGGATTATCCTTTTTGACAGTGAGTATGTTTGGTGACAAAGGCACAACCAGGGACAGCAAGCCCACCCACCCATTCAATTATCCTTTCGTCAGTACTCACGAATCATGCACAGTCTGTTTAACAGTCTGTAATTGGGTGTAGTGCTCTGAGTATCTTGGCTGTTGCAGGTGTCTCTGCTGGACATGTTCCACCATGACCAGCAGAGTAGCAATCCACGGGAGGCAAGAAGGTAGTTCAGTTCAGTTCAACATGCCTTAGTAGCTGCTGTTGGTTCAAACTTCACGATCCTGGCCCCAACTAGTTTATTTTAGACTTATTTAAGCACAGCCCAATTTGATGAACATTTTCCTGGTGGTAATTAGCTCAATCTCATGTGCACAATAAAGCAAAAGATGTGGCTACCCTGAAACTCTTTGTAAAGTACGTGGGACATCATTCATAAAGATGAGTTCCAGAGACAGACTACATGTGACACCTTCTATAAGGATAGGCTCTGTAGATTGACAAACTCGTGATAAATAAGTAAGGATTTGAGGGAGGAGCCTCCATGGCCTCGGCCACACAGTGCATAGGTCATGGCTACTAGCCACACCCACTCCCAGCCTTCTGGGCAGACAGCAGGGTGTGTATCCCTCCCTTTGAGTGGACAGCTCTATGACTTTAACACTGTTCCCTCTGCTCCCACAGGCTGTCTCAGGGCTACTTTGTCAAGTAGAAAGATTGGAACGTACGCTGGTGTTGGTGTAGTGTCTGCTCTCTTGTGCTCTTGTTTTGATTCAGCCCCATATGTGTGTTTGTAGACACTGTGCCTTTATGCCTCACCAAGATACATCTGAGAGAGTAACCTTGCAAACACTTGAAGTCATTTTTCCAGCCCTGTCATTGAGTTTGCCTGACCCAGCACCATGTGTGTGAGGTGCCAGCAAGAGGCAGGGCTGTGCTGGCTGTGCAGGGCTGTGCTGGCTGTGCAGGGCTGTGCTGGCTGTGCAGGGCTGTGCTGGCTGTGCAGAGCTGTGCTGGCTGGTGTGGATTTGAGTCTAACCTCTCCCACACTGTGCTCTCTCACTCCATCTCGTCTTATAACACACATAGCAGTGCTGGGACCTCATGAGAGTTACGACCCTGATGTTAACAGTCTACAAAGGGAAGTCTCAGGTAAAAGGCAGAAGAGCAGAAGAGACCTCGAGCTTACAGACAATGTTAGTGTGTCTGCAGGATCCCTGATGGCCAGGGGACTGGGCATGCACTCCTGACGTCTCAGTTAGGTGGGGAGCTCCATTTTGAACAATACCTTCACAAGATAGACTTGTTTCCTAGAGCTGCCATAATGCGGTATCACAAATTATAGTGCTTAAATCAATAGGAACTTACCCTCTCACAAAGAAGAGAAGCCCCAAATCAAGATGTCAGCGGGCTATACCCCCTCCCAAGGCTCCAGGAACTGTGAGTAAAACAGAAGAGAAGCAATTTAAGGCAGGAAAGATACCTCTGACCAAGGGTTTCAGGGCATTATCATAAGGAAGGGGCGTTGGAGTGGTTTTCATTTGTGGTAGGACACAAGGTGTGTCAGCTGAACAGCAGTGCCTGAGCCAACTACTGAACTATGTACAATCTGTGTACATCTCATAGGACAAATGCACTTAGTCTAACTTAGAAGTTGTATTGGCTGGGTTTATGTGTCAACTTGACATAAGACAGAGTCATCAAAGAGGAAGGAACCTCAGTTGAGGAAATGCCTCCATGAGGTCCAGCTGTAAGGCATTTTCTCAATTAGTGATCAATGTGGGAGGGCCCAGCCCATTGTGGGTAGTGACATCTCTGGGCTGATGGTTCTGGGTTCTATAAGAAAACAGGCTGAACAAGCCATGTGAAGCAAGCCAGTAAGCAGCACTCCTTCATGGCCTCTGCATCAGTTCCTGCCTCCAGGTTCCTGCCTTGTTTAATTCCTGTCCTGGTTTCCTTCCATAATAAACAGCAATATGGAAGTGTAGACAAATAAATCATTCTCTCCCCAATTTGATTCTTGATCATGGTGTTTCATCACAGCAAAGGAAACCCTAGCTAAGACAGAAGTACCCATGGTGCTTGTATTAACCCGTGACTTTATTGTTTTATTTAAGTTTTGTATATGGGTGCTTTAGCTGCACATTTATCTCCACATGCATGCCTGGTGTTCTCAGGGGCTAGAACCCCTAGAGCTTGAGTTACAGATAGAAGTTATGTGAGTGCTGGGAATTGAACTCACATTCTCTAGAAGAACAGCCAGTGCTCTTAAAGTCTCTTCTGAAGTGCAGGCAAACTTTGAACTGTGACCCTTGTAACAGCAAAGGGAGTTACACACTCCCTGTGTTCCGTGGCAGCAGTCAACATTCTCATGTCCAAAGCAGGAGCAGGAGAGCAGTAAGGAAAGACTAGACAAAGCCAGTTCAAAGCCAGACAGGTGCCTGTTGAATCCATTCAGAAGCCATTCATGACACTAACTGAGGGCTTGGGCAGCCCTGCCCACAGGGCCCTGCCGCTTGTAACACAGATCCTTCCTCCTGCCCTGGCTTCACTCTCTGCCTGCAGCTTTTCTCAGCAGACACCTACAATCCTGGCATGTCCCACGGTCTCCACTGACACTTACACTTCACTCTCCAGCTTCACACATGGGCTTCCCTCAGGGAACCTGGACACGGCTGCTTACTGATGGCCTCCTGGGCCTTCCTTAAGAAGGTTGGTGTAGGACTGAGAAGGTGGCTTAGTGGACAGAGGGGACACCTGCTTGTCATCACAGCACTAGAGAGGCAGAGACAGGTGAATCCCTGGGATTCATTGACTAGCCAGTCTAGCCTACTGACAGGCAAGCTCCTGTCTCAAGAAACAAGGTTGACAGGTCCTGAAGAACAATACCTGAAGTATTCTGTGATCCTCTGACTCCCTTGCACAACACACATGAATGTCAGACCACCATGACTCTGTAGTTCTTGCATTTGGTAAACCAGCAAAGCCATGTGTACCCTACTGCAGTGACGAGCTCTGCTCGGCAGCCTGAGGTATGTGTCTCCAGGCCTGCCTGTGAGTGCTGAGGCTCATAAGCTCAGGAACACTTCTTGAGGCAGCTCTTGTCCAGCAGGGTGCCTTGGCCGCACCTCCTCTCCTGTAAAATCTCATTCTCTGTGAATGTTCAGCCTCACACCCCAGAGACTTCCATGGCACTTCTTCCTTCCTGAAATGCCATTAAAGAAATTTTTTTGTCCCAGTCCAAAGTGGTCCTTTGTCTGTGACTTTAAACTCATTTCTGGCCAATTGTTTGCTTTTCATTTTCTGCTCTGTTTTTCTCTGAAGTCCCATGATCGACCTGGCTTAGTCACCAGTTGTAACCGTATCACAAGCACAGTGCTACACTGTCTTAAAACCTCTTCTGCCAATCATTTCCCATCATTTTTTAATTTAGCCTTACTCAGATTTTCAGAGCAGCAGGACATAGGCAACTTTTTGCCAGAATGCACTGAGGACTGTAGTTCAGTTCACTTGAGCCCTTGTTCCGACCCGAGGGTTCCCAAGTGCTAATGTTCTTGTTTCTGCTGAGGTCCCGGCTTCCATATTCCCACTAGAACTATGCAGAATTAACATCACTCTGAGACCTCTCCAGCCTCTGGTCTCCGGCCTCCTCCTGTAAACCCATTCCCGAGCCCTAAGCATAACATCGCTAGTCAGCTAGTCAGTGATTACTCACACCAGTGACACACACACACCAGTGACACACACACACCAGTGACATACACACAGCAGTGACCACACACACACCAGTGACACACACAAAGCAGTGACCACACATACACACCAGTGACACACACAAAGCAGTGACCACACATACACACCAGTGACCACACA